CCGCAAGGCAACGGCAACATCCCGAACACGGACTCCGACTCCGACTCCGACTCCGACACCAACTCCTCCGTTGCTTCTTCTTGGCTGCTGTTCAATTTCACCTGAACAAAGGGTCTTACATTTACAGGTGATAGCCCCCTGCCCCCCGAACCACCGAAAGACCCTCAGTAAAGGGCAGACAGAGGGAAGGCGGGGGATTGTGGATGAGTCGAACAATTGTTAACCGCAGCGGTGATCTCTATCTCATAAATAACACATAGAACTTTCAATTTCAGGCAGAAAGCCCGCGCTGAACCAACCCAGAAAAACCAAAGAACCCAGAACCCAGTGTTTACTATAGAACCTCATAAGTGCGGAGGCTTTTAAAGATGATTCCCTAGTGAAAATGAATGGAAAGGCCTCCACATCGATACCACTACTCCCAAATTCAGTTCGTTCCCATTTATTTCTCATAATTCAAATGAGCAGCCAGCAACCAAGAAAATTTCCAGGAAATCATATCAAATGCATTGCATTTATCGATCCAACTAATCCAAAGCGATTTCAATTAACATGGGAGACCCCAAAAGACAAACAGACATTGGGGCCCAATTCCAATTCAAAGGCAAGCTCCAAGTCCGAGTCCAAGAAACGACGGCAGCTCACGTTGCTGGTTGCTGGGTTGTCGACGACGTTGCCCGACATCGTCATACGCCCTTTTTTGGGTTAAAAACAATGGGTTCAAACGGCTGCGCTTCAGCGGAAAACAAAAAGCGGCCAACGAGCCCTAAATCAATCACGGCCAGGCGACATGTCAACAGCGAGGCACAGGCACGGGCAGAGGCAGGGGCGGGGGCGGGGGCTAAGACTGAGAGGGGACACCCTCGCCAAGCCCATACCCATACCCATTCCCTGTCCCAGTCCCAGTGGCAGTCGCAGTACACATCTCGAGTCAAACGGCAGGCAAAATGTCAACGTGATCGTGGCATCTTGAAAAGGGCCGCCGACTCCGAGTTGGCCCATCGCATTGGATCGCATCGCATCGCATCGCATATATTGGCCATATAGTAGACCGGGAGGAGTCCATGTACATACACTCCATGAGCGAGAGGGAGAGGCAAGCCTGGGGGGAACCTGGAACGTGGCGGCCAGCCGGGTCGATGTCGATGTCGATCTTTGGGTTTTTGGCCTCTGTGTGTGCGCGTGATATCTGGAACTACGAAATTGAGATCGATTCGAGAGTACGTGTCTGAAATGCGAATCAACCGAATGGGTATCCATCCCTTTTGTTGTAACGATAAATTATGATATTATTTGAAATTAATGTTAAGTAAAATGACATCAGTGGGCCCTCTCAGAGGCAGACTTGATTAGCGTGCACTTGTCGACAAGATCGTAAGAGGAGGCCAGCAAGGTACCAGAGAGATCTCGCATAAGAGATCGGATCGTCGGGTGCATTCGTCACAATTAATATTCCAATCAGATGATGGCGAACACATGTCCGCAATGCCATGTCCCTGCTGTGGAACTGCAGTAGTAGATCATCACTGGTACTGGTACTGGTACTGGTACTGGGACTTGGACTCGGCGTCGCATGCGTAATGAGGTACGCGGGCCAGTAAAAACCCTCTCGAATGGGATCAGGGAACGGGGATCGAGTATCGAGGATCGTGTCGCTGATTTGTTCGCTGTCATAATTCAATAAAGTAGTCAAATGTCAGCTGGACTTACGCAAAAAGCGCACGGCTCAAGCGATCCATCGATGTGGATGTTGATGTGCCTGCCCCTGCCCCTTCCCCGGCCGTCATCATCCGCTGTCCGGCGGCTCACTCCGATGCACCACACGCACACACACACGCGCGCATCAGCGCCAGGGTTAATGGCCAGAAACGCAAATCCGCTTAGTGGCTGCGACCGCGGCTGCACCAGGATCGTGGCAGGCGGGGGTAGCGCAGGTTTCTCTCTACTTATTAATTCATCACATGCCGCCGTGTCGCTTGGACATGCGATGTCTCCAGGAGAGGCTCTACTCTCTCTCTCTCTATACAATTTATCATATATAAACCCATCTACTAAAGACATCCGATAGGGGTTCTGTTTATGGCTATGATTATTATAATCTGGGCAGAAAGTATGGCCGAAAGTATCCTATGGTACACAGATGATCCCATCTTGGCGTTGGCTTTCAAGAAAGAATAAATATACAGAATTTCAGTTATTTCCATTTTGATCTGTGTAAAAGATTGTAAGCTTTCCTTTTGCTAGTATCTACAATAGATCTTAGCACTTTCTGTTTTTACTTTTTTAATAAGATTCTGGTTTACTTGTTTTTCCAGAGAATGGTTGGTCCGTCTGATATATGTCCGTATGTTCCAGTAGAATAAACGACTGCTATGATGATGGTGCTGGTGGGTACGGGGTACAGGAACCAAAAGACAAAAGATACGCTGACGCGACGACGAAGGAGCAGAGCTGGCGGAGAAGCAAGAAGACAAACGTTTCGGCGACAACGCCAGCAAGTGACAAACGTTTAGATGGATGGATCGTTCTTCATTTTGGGGGTACCAGCCGATACGAGCCGAACCCGGGGACCGGGCCGGGAACGGACAGCGGTCAGCGGACAGCGGACAGCCGACTACGAGCATCGAGCAAATAAACCAACCGAAAAAAAGCGACGATTGCACATAAATTATATTCAAATTTCTTTGAGATCTAAAAGATATATAAATACGGGAAAACACACACACAAACAGACACACGAAAAAAAACAAGCGGCTATCCCGATCACCGATCCTCACCCTCCTGTCCTCCTGTGTCTCCTTTCTGACATTTTCCAAACCGAACCGAACCGAACAGAACCCAACAAAAATGTTGGCTCTCTCTCGACCTTTGTTTTCAATTTATGCAGATATGCCCACATCTGTCTGTAGATAGGAGTCCCCACTGACCACAGTCCTAGCCCTGGCTGTGGCCCTGGCCCATCTCCATTACCATCTCTCGGCCACTTTTCTCTGTTGCGCCAAAAATCAGCCAAGTGGCGGTCGGCTGATCGAGACACCTGGACTGATCCATCTCCGTTCCATTCATCCCATTAGCCGAGAGTCTCGTTAAGCGTTCCCAACAAATAAGAATGGAGGGCTCTGAATCCCATTTAGATATGGCCAGAATCTCTTTGAAAAACTGCCACTAATTGATGTCACTAAGGCCTTAACAAAAGACTTTCAAATGGTTGGGTGTCGATCGCAGTCTTCCAGCTGCCTCGAAGCTAACTTCAAATGAGATGTTACTGTTCCATCGAACTGATGAGTATGGAATAGATTTGAATTGACTTGAGAATCGATATCTAATCGAATCAAGGAAATGTTCCCCAGAAGCTATGTATGTATCTACCAAATTTGAACCGACCTACGTGTAGTTAGAAAAGTTTCAAAAACAATGCCAAAAAGTCTGTTCCGTGGGCAGCAGCTATTCTTCTGTACTGCTCGGTTCGGTGTTTTGCCTCATCTCAAATTAGTGGCAACAGCGCCAGAGATTTGTCTAATTGGAGGAGGCTGCAGGCGACTGCAGAGCGCTTTGATGTTGTTGTTTGGATGTTGCCACATGTCCGTCAGTCATGAGTCAGCGGCGAGCGTGTGGCAGGACGGATGACAACGGATGTCGGCGGCGAGTCGAAAGAAAGCTTACAGAAAGTAACCTTAGGTCCATCCCATATCCCTTCATACACAATCAATGTACATGTATGCCCATATACATATATATCCAATGTATATGGGAGCCTGAAAATGGCGCTGGTCGAAGGAATGGAATAGAGGAAGGAATGGATGGAGGAGTTTGGGGTACGAGGTACGAGGTACGGTACGGGTATGGTGCGAGTGGAGTGGAGTGGAGTGGATGGAAGTTGCTTGCTTGGAACGCTGTCAAAAATTGCCAACTGGCACATTAATCCACGCGACATATTTATGAGTGTAAATGTATCTGTGGCGGCGGCCCTGGCTCTGAGCTCCGGGGCTCTCTGTCTGCCGCCTCTGTGCCTTTGCCTGTGCCTGTGCCTGTGTATCCGTGAGATATAAAGATATCGCTGCTGCTGCTGCTGCTGTGGTTGTCGGGGAACATGGACGAGGGTTGCTCTTTGCTAAATGAGTGCACATTTCAGATAAATTATTGCACACAGCTCTCGTATGCGACGGCAACAGCCAAACCAAAATGTATTTAACAAATTAAATTTACACACAAACACAAATACAGAAACAGACACAGATACACCGTAACACCGTAACACCGACAGCTCTCACAGATACAACAGATACAGCCCCAAAGCTGCACAGAGAGAGAGAGAGAGAGAGAAAGAGAGAGAGCGGAAGCAGCAAAACATCAAAGAGCTCGCCGCAGCGTGGCAGGCAGCAGCATGCCGTCGGGGTCCGCACTGTGGGCGGAGCTTGTGCCGCCGCGTCCAGGGCCAATGCACGAGTAGCGCTCTCACAGATACTCACACAGACACACAGGCACACACACGCGCACCGCCACCGAGTGAGAGAGAGAGATACTAATACACAGATACACAGTGCCTGGAGGCGGCGGGCGGCATGTGATTTGTATTTATTTTTTTTTTTTATTATATTTTGCTTGTTGAAGTTTGTTTTTACTGCTGCAGATACAGATACGCCGGCTGTAGAGACTGATACAGATACAGATACAGTATCTCGCATCGATTTTTGGGGCTCTGAGCGCTGGAATGCATGGCACGAGACAGAGAAACACTGACGCGACGCCTGTCACGTGACAGCCTGACATGTATCTGTTGCTGTTGGTGTAGTTTGAGATGTATCTGTGAGTGGTGCTGCTGCAGCTGTGTCTGTGGCCCATTCATGCGAACGAGATGGCGGCCGCATTCGTTAGATACAATGCAACGCCACACTCACGCACACAGCAATGCAGGCGCTGCACTTTCAGCGCTTTATCTGCCCCGAAGCTGTAAATATCCGCGAGATTTACAACGCCAGCAAGCAGCCAGCGACGTCGACAGCGTCGCGTATCTTTTCGTGCGAGTCGGTATCGGAATCGGGGAATGGCAGCGGCAACGACTACGACTACGGGCACTCGCATCGCTCTGTGGAATCGTTGCCAGAGAGGCATTCGATACGAAAACGACTCGCTTAACGCATCCGTATGCGGCTAATTCGCTAGCAAACACAGATACAGTATCCCCGCACATCCAATAAGACAACAAAAACTCTCATAAGCGGAGTCCCTGCTACTGCCCATATGCAGATACCGATACAAGTGCAAATACAGATACAGATACCAGTACGGGTACGAGCACGAGGACAGGTCCAGGCACAGACACAGACACTACCAAAGCTGGCGATTGTCGTGCTCCACTTGTGCCCATTGTTGCCGCTCTCCGGCTGTCACCGTAACTCACAATTGAATTGTTCCTTTGTTCTGTCCGCATCCGCATTAGCATCCGCACCAGCAACAGCAACAGCACCAGCACCAGAGCAGCACCAGCACCAGAACCGCCGCCATACGATCCTGATCAGAGATTCAGCAGATCAATCCATAGGCACAGCTCCAGCTCCAGCTCCAGCTCCAACAGCAACTCCAACTTCGACTCCCGCTCCGGGTTGAACTGACCGAGAGACCTGCCTGCTCCCGAATTTCGCATAATTGGCTAAAAGTCACTTGCCGACGTTCGTTGCTTTTCTTTGAAGTTGGCCGCCAGACGGAGCGTCGCCAGAGCCAGGTCAGAGCTACGACACCGCTGCTTCAAGGGAGAGGGAGAGAACAAAAGACAGCTCCTCCATCATGCTGGTGCCGCCGGATATGTTGGTCGCACAGACGCGCATGATCTACCAGATGAATCGCTACTGTGCCGAGCGTGTCCAGGCCCGCATGTTCAAGACCTCGACAGCCATACGGGAGATCTGCAAGATTGTCCAGGATATACTCAAGGAGGTGGAGCTGCAGGAGCCGCGCTTCATCTCGAGTCTCGTCGAGTGTAATGGCAGGTAAGAGTAAGAGTGCATATTCGTACACTGAAACTGGTGACCCCGACCATTGAGCATTTGTTCATGTCATACAGTAGGTAAATCCCCAACATAACCCTTTTAGGGTGTGAGATAGTTAGCTATTCAGGAATACTAAAAAATTAATAAAAAGGGACTGTATAAAATGACTAAAGTATCTAAATTTGACGTTTAATTGGTGACCCCGAATATCAATCGATGGCAGGACAAATTACAGTGTATCAAAGTAGCATAGCATGCCCCAATTCTCTTAAGTGGTGACCCCGATCAATCAATTAACTGCCATATAAAGTTTCGCGAATAAGCAATCCTGAATTTAATAAGCTAAATCCTAAACAAATTAAAAGTTGACCAATAAACTGCTCATCTGGATAAATCAATATACATAAATTCCTAAAGTGGTGACCCCGATCAATAGATTGATCTCCAACTCAAGCATCCCCGCATCGAAGCGGAGCAATGAATCAGTACGGAGTGGGAAAGAGGAGCTTGCACAGTGACTGACGGACACTGCACGAGCATGACTTGACAGTTAACTGACAATGACGATGCACGATGCATGTAATGATGCGACTCTACTCTGCAGTGGCCCCGGGCGCAGCGGACCGAGCAGTAGCAGCAGCAGGAGGAGGACAGTGCGATGACAGTCAATCCGGTCACCGGAATTACGCAGAACCAGTGTCGATTCAATGGGTCTGCGGTTGTGGCTCTTGCCACCCATATCTCCAATTCTCTCTCTCTCTCTCACTATTTCTCTGTTTCTCTCTGACTTTCTCGGGCTGTCTAGGTTCGAGGGCGTTGAGGTCATCTCGCCGAATGAGTTTGAAATTGTGCTGTTCCTCAACCAGATGGGCGTCTTCAACTTTGTGGACGACGGCACCCTGCCCGGCTGTGCGGTGCTGAAGCTAAGCGATGGCCGCAAGCGCTCCATGTCGCTGTGGGTGGAGTTCATCACGGCCTCCGGGTATCTATCGTCGCGGAAGATCCGCTCCCGATTCCAGACGCTGGTGGCGCAGGCCTGCGACAAGAGCATGTACCGGGACATGGTCAAGATCATTGGCGACACCACGGAGGTGAAACTGAGGATCAGGGAGCGCTATGTGGTGCAGATCACGCCGGCGTTCAAGTGCTCCGGTATCTGGCCACGCTCGGCGGCCCACTGGCCCATGCCGCACATCCCCTGGCCGCATCCGAATATCGTGGCCGAGGTGAAGACGGAGGGATTCGATCTGCTCTCCAAGGACAGTGCCGCCATGCAGAACAAGAACAACAATGCGGCCAGCATGGAGGGGGATGCCTGGGTGCTGAGCTTCTACGAGGCCGAGAACCGTCTGCTGCAAGGTGAGGGCGAGCTTTTCCAGATCCATTCCAAATGATATACCGATACATACGGTTCTCTTTCTCCCCTCTCTAACATAAAGGTGGCTGCCGCCGCCGCTGCCTGAGCATTTTGAAGACGCTGCGTGACCGGCACTTGGAGCTACCCGGCAGCCCGATCAGCGCCTATCACCTGAAAAATCTGCTCCTCTACGAGTGCGAGAAGCATCCGCGGGACTACGAGTGGGACGAGAGCTGCATTGCCGACCGCATCAATGGCATCTTCCTGCAGCTGATCTCCTGTCTGCAATACCGCCGATGTCCCCATTACTTTCTGCCCAGCCTGGACATGTTCAAGGGCAAGTCGCCCAGTGCCCTGGAGCAGGCGGCCAAGCAGGTCTGGCGCTTGACCAGAGAGATGCTGACCAATGCCAATGCCTTTGAGAAGTTGTAAATGGGTGTTCAGGCAGCCAGGCAGGCAGGCCGGCAGGCAGGCAGGGTCTCAGGTCTCCGAGTCTGGTGTCGTGTGAGTGCTCGAGTCAGTGTGCGAGTGAGTGTCGTCGAGTGGGTACTCGGTAAAGGTGCTAAATTTTCATTGTCGCTGCGATTGCAGTGCCGAGATGATCTGAGATAAGGCCTACAGTGAGAGCTGCCTCCCTCCATCCCAATTCCAATTCCAATCCACATCCCATCCCATCCCATTCGCGGCTGCCATTTTGTATCTGTGCCATGAGTGTATCTGTATCTGCATCTGTATCTGTATCTGTATGTGTGTGTGTGTGTGTGTGCGTCGAAGGCGAAGTGTTAATGCAGAGATGCGAGATAAGTCCACTCCCCATTCGACTCCTTGCCATTGCCAGTGCCCATCCAGGCATGCCCGGCTTAGCCTGCGAATATTGTTTTTAATAACTCGAACATCCTTTGTTCCCCGTCTGGCTTTCCGTCTGTCCACCCGGGTAGGCAAACAATGTGGCTGGCAAAAGGAACATTTGGCCAGGCGGCTCCTTTTACAGCGCATCAGCACAACGGAACGGAGTGCGGAGTGCGGAGTGTGTGTGCAGAGGTGTGTGAGGAGTACTCAATGAAGTATACGATTGTTCTTCTTTAGTATGCCGATCATAGATCAAAGCAATCCAGCATAAATATCAAACAACAACAAAACAACGGAAGAAACTGAAGATGAGGATAGAGAGTTCCACATCCATTGATCGTTCCAAGTTCAACTTAACATTGTTCTATTCTCCTATTCCTACCATGTCTATATCTATACGGATTCGTCCAACGCATAACACTTATAAAGATTATCCACAGTTTAATATATAGTAATACATAGATTGCTTAAGTGAGAAAAATATGCTTGAATAAATTCAAGAATAGCCAAAGGCACTTACGGATCCTAACAATATACTGCGTTGGGATCTATTTGCGGGAAATAAGAGCGACCTGAGATGGGGATAAGGGCAGACATTGATTGTTATTCTCAGAGCCACTTCCTAATACAGATCGGGCTGATTAGATCCTTTACATTTTAGTACATTTCAGGGTAACTAAGCCCATTCGATCGCTGACAAGTCCCAGAAGGATTCACATCCTTTCGGCTCTCATTAGGGAAGTCAGGCAGTGTTGCTGTTTGGGGTCTGGTTGGTGAGTTAATGTTATGATTATTGGCATTGGCGGATATTTATTTGCAGCTCTTAGCCGGCGTATCGCGTATCTGTATCTGCGCACTCACCGATGTATCTGTCTCCAAGAAAATGCAGCTGCATCAGCCTCCACATCCACATCCACATCCAGATCTCAGCTCCAGCGACAACTGAGCATCATTTTTATTACCCTTATTTATGGTTATGTGATTTGCCGGAGAAGGCCCGAAAAGAGTAGTTTGTCTGCTTTGTTCTGCGGTTCCTTTTGTCCACCGTGTCGGGGCGGGAGGCGGGTGGCGGGTAGCGGGAGGGCGAAAACTTTCAGCGAATGTAATCGATATTTTCCCCGAGAGTCGGACAAAAGGTGCTCCGCTCCGCTCCGCACCGCAGCGGTTCTGTCTGTAATGGAAAGTACGAGAAAATAATCAACGTCAGCACAAAAGGCAGAGCCACACAGCATAATGCGATAGTCAAAATAACAAATTATGCCGAAGCACGCAGGGATCATGTTACCCGGTCGCAGTCTCTCTTCAGGACCAGAACCAGAACCAGCACCGTCTCTCCAGCTCCAGCTCCCTCTCTCTCTCGGACTCAAGGCATCATTCCACCCTGAGTGGGTGGGTGGCAGTTCCTAGGCTTTCCTATGCCTGGGAAAAGCATCATCAGGTGACCGAATCGGTTCGCTGCGCACTTTGCCGCCAGCGCCAGCGCCACGGCACGTGACTGGCTCTGGCACGCGGGGAGGCGAATTCGGAATGGGGAATGGAAAAACCAGATGGAGTTGGAGATGGACCATGTGCACGCAGACAGACCCTGATAAGGCACGATTCCCATTGGCACCACAACCAGGCCGCACCGGGGATCCCAGGGAGAGCAGTTTGTTTTGACAAATTATATTTGGAATGCAATTAAAATGGAGGAGGGGGCTACCAGTACCAGTACCAGTATCAGAATCAGGAAGCAGCACCTGCCCAGGCTCAATCCTCAATCCTCAATCCCCAAACCCAAGCCCTCTCCTCATTTGGATGGGCTGTCACAACTTTGGCCAAAGCCACACAAAAAATGTTGTCGCCTGTCGCCCTTTTCTTGTTCATTGTTCGCCCCTTTGATTTGATACCCTGCTTCAATGATGGGTATATCCAAATATGATGCGATTAGGAATAACTTTTTCAGCAAATGCCAGCAAATGTTGCTGCTCTCGAGAACGAATGATGCTGGATATCCCATGGTCGATGGACTCGACCACTCCACCACGCCCAGGTAATGTGGAAGTTTTCGGTTTTTCTTGTTGACATTTATGTGCACCCTTCCTCCCCAGCAGCTCCCTTCAGATCCCTGTCCATGGCCGTGGGCGGTGACAAGAGAGAGGCTTACGATTGCGTCTCGTTGTCGTCGGCAGGGTCGGCTCGTTCTCGTTCTCGGCCACGTCCTCGTCCTCGTCCTTTCTGACTCCTTTTGTTGGCCGCTGGATCTGGATGTGGTTTTCTTTGTTTTAATTGTTTACTAATGATATTTAAATTAGTGCTCTAAATGACCCCGGGCTCGGTTCCTGCTCGCCAGCTCCCCCTTCATTCACCTTTGTTCCTGTTGTGCTGTTCGCATTTTGACATTTCATTTGTTTAGATCTACCATCTCCCAGCGGGGGTTGCACAAACTACCGAGAACTGAAAATTCTAAATGGAGTACAGAGGACCAGAATGGGACACCACAAAGGCCCCCCACCCCCACAATCAATGGACAGAGGAGAAAATTTGTATAATTTTGTTGAATTTTATGATTACTGATCATTTTGATCAGAAGGAAAAGGTATAAAGGCATATCTATAGGAACAATATATGTCAATTTTTGATTCAGACGCCAGCCGAGTGGATCTGCCCATGTCCTTCCGTTTCTATCCTTTAGTCGTAATGTTCTTTCGATTTGAAGGTAGGTTAGAAGATTATAAGTCTTTCTTATTGAAAGAATATACATCAAATCGAGCTAACGTACATAATCATTCATAGTATAGTAATTGCAGGGAGGTCTATTAGTAGGTGCAATTCCAAACAACCTTTTAAAATCAATCTTCGGGCTGTTCGGATCTGAACAATCTGTACATGTAGCTACTTATCATTGGAAAGTGCGACGACTGCTATCGCTGCTCATTCACTCAGGAGATTAATATGACAACTGGACTGGCATTTTTTTTTACAATTCATTTTAAGTATCATTCAATCGTTCAGTTTATGACAGCCAGCCACTCATGCATACTGCTCGTACTCGCATGAAATACTCATTTAATGGCTAGTATAAGTATTTCCGCTTATCACTTGCATTTATCGAATTGGCCAGTCAATTGCACCCACAATCACAGTCGTTGAATCAATCATGACCCTCGGAATTATTCACTCAATTGCTTGTTCATAATTTTGATACCTTCGGCTGAACGTTTATGCAGAGTGTCATTTTAACAATCCTTGAAAAACTTTTCGAACAATTGGTAGATTTTTAAAAGTCTAAAGGATCTTCTGAAGGGCTTTTTTATTTACATATTTCAAATAGAAGACAAATCTTTTACATAATTTAGCTATTCATTTAATCTTTCTTTCTTTCAAATGTGAATCTAGATATAATCTAGCTGCATCCTTCATAAAACCAGAGATCTAAGAGTTTCATTCAATTTCGATGGACTGCTCCAGTATCTAGAACCATCCCGATTAATCGTTGCTATGCGGATCAGCTACTCTGGCGGTTCTAGCGATTCCACAGCCATCATCTTCCCACTTCTGGGCACTTTTCCTGGGCATAATTATGTCGTCATTATCAAAAACACGTGGTGCAATTTAACAACATCACTAAAGGGGCAGGGCAGGGCAGGCATCGGCATCGGCATCCTCCGGTGCTGGGAATCCATGGGGATGGATGGATGGATGGGGAGCGCACACGCCACAAATTATGAATATCAGAAAAATGCACAAGATGAATGGCACAGGAAAATGCTTTCCCAAAAGGGAATGAATGCTGTGCGGAAGGAGGGGGCGAATCTGGGGGAGTGGGAAATTAGTTTTCCACGCATCGCCAGCAAACACAATGGAGCATCGCAGTGGGTGAGCAAGGGCGTACGGTGGGGAGGGGAAAACGGAACGGAACGGCACGGCACCTACATGTGATAATTTAGAGCAGATTGTCGCCTCCTCGGAGCGGGGAATGGCTGAGAGAGAGAGAGAGAGAGAGAGAGCTGGAGAGAATACTAGAGTGGAGTCGTCGTCGTATTTTTGGATGGACATTTGCATTCAATTACGGCAGCTGTGAGCCGGCCCTGATTTATATTTATGCACGCGTCTCTCTGACGTCCCATAAAGGAAACCAAACCCCAAAATGCTGCCACAGCGCCAGGAGATGGAGGTGAAAGATCGGTGCCAGAGCAGGGGAAAACGGAATGAATCCCCGGCAAAGAGTTGACGCTGCCTGCGCTCAATCATAATTATGTGATTTGTTTGCGACATTGGCGCGGGCGACTAATTAAACGGCGGAGTGGCGGAGTGGCGGAGCGGATGAGTGGGTGGAAAATAGATGGCGGGGATGGAAGGGTTAGGAACGGAGTCTGCCACAGGAGAGGAGAGAGGACCATGTTGACGTATTGTCGCTGATGTTGCCCCGTCTGGAATTATGACATTTTGATTTGAGTTCCATTTGATGTCCCTCAGCCGCCGCCCGCTCTGGCGTCTGATTTATGCGGAGCTGATGGATGGCAGAGGAGAACGGGCTGGTGGCGGGGTAATGGAGAAGGAAGCGGAGTGGAGTGGAGTAAAGGCGAAGGTGAACTAATTAAGAGGCGGACTGGTACTGGTACTGGCGCTGGGGAACGGGTTGCAGCTGCAAGCAATTGGGGAGGCACTTAGGCCATTACCAAATGACAAACAATTTGTATTGTGGCTTCTGTAGTAGCCCCCCATTCCCACTCCCATTCCCATACCTATAACCATACCCATACCCATCATCCTCATTCGTGCAGCATGCAACAAGTGACAGAGAATGACATTCGGTGGCAACTGTGTGTGAGGGAGAGCCCCAGAAAGAGATCTCTGGGAACACACTTGGACTGAGAGTTATCCCAAATCGATTAACATTATTAATGAATGCATATCATGGGAATACATTGGGGAGAGGGAGACGCAGAGAAGACTCTGTGTAGTGAGAGAGAGAGAGAGAGACAGAGGGACAGGTGGGGCAACGGAAAGTTCAGAACATGAAAACGTTTTCAAACAATTTCAATTTCCAAGAAACGAAATGAACTCCCAGCGAAACATTGTCAACATGATCATCAACTGTCTCTGCCTCTCTCAGAGTCCGACTCCGATTCCGATTGCGACTCCAATCCCAGCTCCGAGTCTCTGTCTCTGTCAACATATTTATGGGCCAACATTGGAGGCAGCGACTGGCCTGGGGGGCTGGGGGCTTGCGACTGGGGCTGTGGCTGTGGCTGTGTCATTGGAATGTCCAAATGTTCCATAATAAAACAAAGACCACAACAACACCAAATACAATCAGAAACGAAAGCAGAAACCGAAACCGAAGCCGAAACAGAACCAAAAGGTAAAGGCAAAGGCAAAGGCAAGCCCGGGTTGAAAACGAGTCAAATCAATGCAGATAATATCAATTATATGTAAAAGATACACATGCATGCGATAGATACATTCGGTGCGATAAGCATTTAAA